TCAAATTTATTCTTGTTTTTCTCGTTGCCATGTTCCCACCAATAACGTAGCTCCATTTTCTGCCTTTAAAAGCACACACAACTCACAAACCCTCTATTCGCTTTGACCAAGGGCTAACGGTCGAAACGTCAGCTTTTGTAATCGTTACGGTGGCCAATTTACCATTTCAACTTTGTTGATATATCCAAATTATTTCGTTACCCTCACCGACGCAGCCCCAAACAGTTTCTTTAGAAACTATCAGCCTTTTTCCCCTTTTACCTTGGTTCATTTCGCATCCATATAATTCCAGTCTGAGACAAATGGTTTCTAGCTGATTCCATTCCAAGGGCAACACTCTAATGAACCGCGCCAATATAGAAGGTGAGAGTGTGTTCGTTACCGCACTATCAGAATCATTATTTGCTTGAAATATCTGCCAATAAAACAAAAGGTCGATCACAGTCACTTAAGTCTGCACGAAAGCCAAGTGACTCATTTAACCCAAGGTGATTTAATATACATACAAACTGACGGTGTTGATGCCCATTTATACTCCTGGACAGAGAAGAGAGAGAGAGAGAGAGAGAGAGAGAGAGAGAGAGGTACTACTGTAAGAGGACTAAAACCCAGGTCCATCAATCAGAATTCCAGCGCGCTAACCCCAGTCCTCTGTATCTATTGGGTTTCTAGCAACTAAGTTTTACTTACAACAGGTGCTCCTTGTATGGCGTAAGAATGCCATTTGATTCCATCACAACTGTAGTTCAAAGAGTATGACGCCACCCAGTAACCTGCCATGATTATGTCAATTCCCTGAGAAGCAACCGCTGACACGTTTGTTGTCCTCAGTAAGTCAATTTGAAACCACTGATCCAAGTCTACGTCTTCTGCGCACCAGGCCCCGAATGAGCTCGACGTTCTAAGATGAAATCAAGTTAAGGCATCAATCTGTTGTATTTAACAGTCTGGTGTTGTTCAGTGGTTTTATCAAGTTGCCATGAAAGTTAGCTTTTTTCAGCTACATGAAAACCTCGACAGACATAGCTGCAAGTATATGACTTTTTGCTTTCTTTGAAAGTAATCCGGGTTTGCATTGGTTTTGCTTGACTTCGCCGGCAGCGTAATTAGTCCAGAATACTCGCTCCACTTTTTAAGCCATCCGATGCAAACTAAACTATTGAATTAGTTGTACAGACTTTTGGAACCCTCTAATGTATTTTTAATCTCTTCGCATGTTATCAAACGTCATAAACTCAAAACGTTAAGTTCAATTCTTGTGTCGATGGTACTTACAAATTGTTATGAAGTCGCCCTGCAGACGGCAGCAACCAGTCGCTCATGGATGTAGATGCTGAAAGCTGGGAGTCATGTATTGAGCCAGACGCTAGGCCAAGTGGTGATAAGCAATCTAAAAAATAATAGAAAGTTTCGTTTTCCGTCTTTTTCTACAGGAAAGATACGAGAGTCACGATGGTTGCTCTACCGGTCAGTCAGTCATTCAGTCAGTCACTGAGTCTGTCAGCATGTCATGTCGGTAAGTTGGTAGTCAGTGAGTGAGTGAGCCAGTGATGAGTCGGTCAGTCAGTATGCGTTGGTCTCACAATATGAGTCAAGGCGGATCTATTAGCATATTTTATAAATTTGTAAAGTGTACACAAATGACTATGCTTAACTCTTTTCATCTTACTCAAAACCAGTTCCTCAAGCGAAGAACGTCGGGGTCTAGGGCTGACTCTGCTCTCCTATTTCAAAGTAACGCCAATTAGAAATGGTTTTATTCGAAAAGGTAATGAAAGGCCGTCACTTGAAAGGTTTCAAAATCAACACCCTAAAGAAAGTCTCTGGGTAAGAAGCGAAACGGTAAAATGACAAGAACTCCTGCAAAGACCATTACTGTGGAAACATCAGAGCGACAGAATGAAGACATAAAAATAAAGGTTTCTTCGGGTACTTCATAATTAAATTTCAGTCACTGATGGCAATTGCCGCTGGCGAGTTTCTAAATCAGTCGTTCACGGAGAAACCTGATCTTTCTACACATGTTTTCTTAATTGAATGTTACATTTTCTGCAATAGATTTGGAACGATTCTTAATTTTCTTCCCGTTTATTTTGTGAACGGTTGTCGTGGGCGCTCATTATCTTTGAGCCACCCTCCCCAACTTTCTTGTGTCAGGTGGATGGTCGTAGAGAGGAGAGTATTCAATTCTAAGTCAGAGTGTTTACTTTGCAACAATAGCGAGCAGGCGGAAACTGTCAAAAGTAAATTAATTAACTGCTAATGAAAAATAATGACCTGTCTGAAGCTATTCATCACTTTGGACAGCCGACATCTCACTGCTGATCGATTGATCACAGAACAGGAGGCCTGTTTTACTGGAATAATGCTCTACATCGAGGTCCTAGTGAACTGATTTACTCGTCTTAAATGTGATTCAACTCGTAGGTATTTTATAGAGTAGGCGATGGATTAAAATTTCGTTCGATGAACGACAACGCGCGAATTATCTCAGAAAGTGCTTGTGTTACTTCTAACTGCAGTCGGGCACTCTGTTGGAGCAGTCACTGAACAACATTTTCGGCAATTCTTAGTATGACGGTGTAATGTAAGATAAATTTTAGTTCAGTCAGGACTGATACTTCTATTACAGCTTAAGACATTATTCTAAGCTCGTCGAAATATTTCAAACTTCGCCCATCTACCTGCGATAGAGTGATAAGCTAATTACACATCGAGAGCCGACTAACAGAATCCTCATTTTACAAGTTTCTTTATGTCTTCTTGTAACATGCTAGAACTGAATTCTTCTCAGTGCAGGATATTTAGTTGGAAAAATTATCGCTATTCTGTCGAAATACTCAACAACCTCAACGAGTTTATTGATTTGACAAAAGTGCACCTTTAAAGTTATAGTCTGGTGTCAATTAGCTTTTCAGACAAACTGACCGACAAGTAAACCTCCACGGCTTCACTCGGATCAGTTTTCGCGTTGCTGTAAATGCGGGCTTTCATTGAGTAAATTTGTATTCATTCAAAGCCAAGATGTTCAGTTGTCTCTTAACCCAAGTTACTGCAGGAGCTGTAATTCTCTGTAGTTAAAGATGTCAAGAGAATGATCAGTGAAAACTATCACAACATCCTCCCCCATTTACAAAGCATGCCGCGGAGGTTAAACGCTCGTATTGTCAGTAGTGAAAGATTTGAACGGTTCACTACAGTTTCACTCATGTGTCAAAGATGTGTAATCAAGACCGAAAGTCGAGAGAGGTCGATCCACTAAATTCGATTGGATGCATTCGCAAAATGATGCAAAACTTGGGTTCAAATTTTGTATTTTGTTCCATGTTTGTTAGTTTGGTCGACAGTTTGGCTGACCTAAAGTTTAGGTTCTTTTAGCCATTCACACTAGCTTAAATGAAAATGATGGAATACTGTTTGACAGAAAAAGTGTAGTTTTACCTATTTAAGTGCAGAGCAATCAATGCACAGTTTGCAAGATGAGAATACAAGTTGAGCTTTGTTTATGAGAAACGAGTATTCATTGCTAACTTGCCTACATGGACATAAATCACGTATATTTTCCTTGTTAATTAAAACTTTTGCCACAAATTTCAGAGTGAGATAGTTTTAGAGAACGAAAACTAACTCTGTTCGTTTTAAAATCACTCAGTCTTGTCAAGGAGAAGATGAATTAAGAGCCACAAATATTTTGTAAACCGCACGCATCTCGTGCTGTAACATGAAAAAAGCCCGCCTTCAGAGATTTCATTTCATTCGGATACAAACTCAGTGAGAATACAAGTGTTTGAAGAGAGCTAATTAGAGGTATTAACCGAAATCTGGTACTTGTGGGAGGATGCGATAGTGTACTAATCTAAAAAGCAAACTGAAATACGTCAAGACAGCCTTTGGCCATGGAGAAACAGTCTTCGGTTTTCCGGCCTTGGTTCCCCCAACTATCAAAGAATGCTTCATGGCCGCTCGAATTCGCTAGTATTAATATCTACAGCAACTCCGACTTTTTTTTAACCGTTTAGAGGCGTTAAACTTAAGTTTCTCTATCCCATAATGGGCTTATGTTAGCTATAAAAAGGGTTTAATTGCCACCCGCTGTACGAGACGAAGAACATTTTTTGCCTTCAAGTGGAATTGAAATCGACTCTGATTCTTGTTTTCAACCGTGGCGGCGTATCTAAGAACATATTCCGAATGTATCGTGGAAAGCTACAAAATTCACGGATTTTCCCTCTCACGAAAAAAAACCAAAGCCTTGAAAACGGATAGAAAAGTGTGAATAATCTCTATTCAACTGGCTTACCTGCGATAGCTTCCTCTGTGGCTGCAAAGTATAAAACAAACACGAGTAAAATTGTCCAACGCATCTTTACACAGAATTTTCCTTCAGGCTTGAAGAGTGAGCTTCAAATAATAAACTTCTTTCTGCCGGAGGTAATCTTACTTCTTCACTTCTTTACAGATCCACGCTTCGATCTCGGCGAGAGTTTGTGAGCTCTGATTTCACACGTAGAACTTCACTTTGTAATATGATTACTGATTTAATCCGCAAAATCCGTAAATCTGTTGCCCTCAAGGGGTCACAGCGACAAAACCGGAAGGGTGGCGCATTGTTTACGCTCGAAAGTATGAACCGGGTGTGTAGAAGTGATGCATCATGATCCATCACTGTCTGAAGGTAGCAAATTGTAGAGCTGAAAGCGCGGTACCTGTACCCAAGACGACATTCGCTTGTCATAAACAACCTGGAAAATGCATCTCGGTGGCGCTGAGAAATGTTCTAATGGATAAGAAAAATGCACAGTGGTTTTAACACAATGCAATCCTCGAACGGGACGTGCTTTCCGCCTTCGCCACTCGGCTCAAGAGCTAAGTAACAGGTTTTCGCGCACTGAATTTCAATGAATAATGCTGAGCGGCACACAGTATTCTTTCTTCTAGAATGCGCCTGTTTGAGATGGACACTCTTACTCTATAAGCAATTTCATACAGTAAAGGTCGAAAGTTATGAAACCTTAGAGCTGGGGGTGTTTCTCTCGTTCTTCTCTTAATAGGTCATAAATCGTCTTTAATTCGACAGTTGATGGAGTTGACATCAGCCATCAAAAACATCAGCTATGCTATAAGATGTACGAGACGCTAATTTTGGAGTTCCTCGCGCGATATTTGAAAGTAAAATTCAATTGAATAGCGATTAGAAGAAAAATCATTACAGTTATGAATTACCTTTTACTAGTTTTTTGTATGTAGATCTTTATTCAAAAGATCAGAGATTTTTCTTTCAAAAAGTTCCCTCTACAGTGTTCATCTTTCATCGGTATGTTACAAACTCGCATGACGACCAGCTCCACATGGCTTGAAAAAGCGCTGCATCGTTATCGGAGTCAAATCCCATTAGGCGTAATTTTGTTACATTTACTTTAGTTGTGTACATGATAAACTGCGATGATCTTTCTACTCCTAAAATATGTAGTTCGCAGTTAAGATATGCTTTTTTAGTGACAAGTGAAACCACTCGGTCCAAGTGAATCAGTTATGTCATTCTCAGGGTATAAAAACCGACATATGTAGCCAATGTTATACTCAGCAGCTTTCAGTGGTACTGCCAATGTGTAAAGTATGATAATCTAGTGGTAGAAAAAAGAGGATTATTTCAGTGGTTAATTCATTGAGTTTCCCCCCCGGCGGACGGAACTTACATTGTCGGTTAGTATTGCTTACAAACTCATTTATCATTAAGAGGTCTTTATCCCAGATTAAGGATTTTTTTTTGCATCCTTGGCGTTTCCGTGTCTAACAGTTTTGATACTTGAAGAAGGAAAAACAAAAACCGACGATCATTAGCACTGTGTTAAGTATGGAGTCAGGATTAAGAAGACGTCTATCACACCAGCTCAGGCATGAACCTAATTCTTATACAATTTTTGAGAATCTTAAAGGTAGATATGACAGAGAGAACATTGATTTTGAAAGCTCCTATTTGTAGAAACGAGGTCCATTGTGTTAATGGCCCTGTGAGATTGCATTTATTTATCTATCACATCACCGTTGAAATCAGTGGTGGTCCTTGCCATCCTGTGGCAATCTGATTGGCTTATAGCAATGCGATTTATGCACGAATCGCTCTATTTTCCGCCTTAATCGATGCCTTTTCAACCCATCTAAACTAGAACACTAAAACAAAAAAGAAATCAGAATTCATAGTTTGCTTAAAGTAACCAGTTAGGTTGCAGCAAAATGAGTGACTCAAAAAAGCCATTTGGTAGCGAATTTTGCAACTCTTGTTGCCAAATCTTTGCCAAAAAATAAAAACATGAAGAATGCAATTTCAAAATAAACGGAAATAATTATGTGGCATTTGAAATTTTGAACTTCGTGCAAGTTTGGTCTGAAATCAGAGTTTTTGATTTACTTAATCTACATACCTACGTACAAAAGCAAACTGTATTTTCACGAGAATATCTTTAAGTACCATTCTTTCATTCTGTGAAAATTCGCTATGACCCCTTTGATGAATTACCTTGATTTATTCACCCAAGTCAGCGATTCGGTGGAACCATATGCGTGCCAGATGATTCTTATATCGTAGGCTCGACATACAATAAATACGATCAAAAATCTACCACACCCAGGCCAAAAGGTTAGTCGGCAATTAATAACTGTCCACTGAAATGTTCTCAGTCTGACCAGACACATAATGCCATTGGACATTAATTACCTTAACTTGACATTCGAAACCCAAAACCTTCCCTGTTTCACTTAGCACTGATTGATTTATCATTTCGGTTCAGTGAGATTGTCTCAGTTCGACAATTTCAGTCTTTGTAGTTTTATACAGCAAACTGCTTTTTTTTTTGACATTGCATGCCACCCTTAAGCTTTTTGGAAATTAAAATTATGCCGTTACTCTTGCAGTTAAGAGTATTTTTTGTTTGAGGGGTGAGTGCTATTTTTATATGGAGATGTTTTACTGTTTAGGGTTAGTTTGAAAGAGGTAGATAACAAATATGTCTCATTTATGTTAAGAATCTTAAAATTGGTTCATTTATCATCCTCTATGCAGCCCTTAGCAAAAGTGCAGAGCTCTTCAAGGGCGTTTAAACTCGAGCAAACTAACCAACTTGAGCTTTTGGACTGAGTGTTAGCGAGAAAACAAGAATATGTTTTCAGTTGTGGTAAGTTTCTGAGCACTTTGTAGGATGTCTGTTTGGATATTGTCCACTTGCAAACCGTACAGCTGTTGAAGATAAGGGATTCATTAGATGTTTTTATTGACTTGCATGATTTTATTTTTAAGACCAGTCAGAAGTAACGATGTCTGGTTCGTTTTAAAAGTATTTATTTTTTTAAAGGATTACGGTAAGAGATAAAGTTACCTACGTCCCTTTCGAGTTTAATGTTTTTGAAAAATACATTACTTCTCAAAGAAAACAGTCGTGTGGAGCCATGAGTGGAATACAGTGTGTCTACCGAGTGATACATCTCAGATCGACCTTGGTTTTACAGCAAAAACTCAGTGATCATTTATATCAACCTCGTTCCCAGGGTATCTCATCTTCCCGCCCCCTGTCCCGCGCTCCAGGGGCGGGAGGATGAGAGACCCTGGGAAGGAGGGTACATTACATAATCACCCTGATCTCATAACTCAACGACGACTTGATAGACAGTTAAGGGACACGAAGCCGAATGAAGGAAGGAAATGTTTTAAGTCCAACTAGCTAAACGCAAAACGACAGCAAATTTGAATATTGAAAATGACATTTTATTGTTAAATCGATACCCCTGTCGGTAGACTTTCTACCTCGTGGATTCTTAATCTTACTTTTTCTATTTTAAAAGAAGTGCATGGCATATAAATAATTACAACTTTTATGTTCGAACTGGGAGCAAAAAGGTCTCGATATATGTCATAGCTAGTCAAAAAAAACTTTCAGAAAGGTTTATTTTGCATAATTGCTATTATATTTATGCGAAAGATCAAACGAAGTCTGTCTGATTTCGTTCTTATTTATTATTACAATAGAGTTCCATGGGTGATGTTTCGTTAGCAAGGCTAAAAGGAAATTGGGAACATGTTGCGTGATAGCCTATGCAAGCAGTATGAGAACTTCAAACGCACGTGTAAGTTTTTTTTTTCTTATTACTTTATATGTACGAAGCCTGATTTTCAATTTTAATGTTTTTTCTATCTATCACTGGGTTGACTTGGTGATTCGATAGTGAAGTATGCTGTCCACAAGAAACGCCAGGAAAGACAGAAAACCAATAACCTAAAAAGCGAAAAAAGTAATTAGATAACATGAAGACCAAGTTAAATTAAGGATACATACTCCACACCAAAAGCCATGTCCAAGGAAATAACTTGTGATTTGGATCTTGGTGATATCAGAGACCCCAGCAGGGATGAAAAAGTGATTACTCAAGCGCTAAACCAAATCCGAGAACGTGATATCGGGCCCAGTGAGAATTTCATAAGGTGGAACTTATCTTCAGTTTTCTGCATTGATCTAATAAGTAAATTTAATTTTTTCTCCACTTTGTTGTAATACAACACAATTACTAGGCAATCACAGCTCACACTACGCCCCCTTTCATGACGATCGCCAAAATAATTTGTTCCTCTGAAAAAGGCGGTTTCCCCACCGCCTAAATTCTCTGCGGTGAAAAATTTTTTCTGCAGTCCATTCATGACGAACTCACATTAACTCCAGTAAATCAGGCGCCTTCGAAACTCTGAAATATCGGTACGTTTCGCACAATAATATAGTTAAGTGTACTGCTTGGTCAGACGAGATTTGCCTTTGAAGGGATCGAATAGTAGCGTCATGGGGGCATGCAAGATCGTTTATCTATCATAAAGAAGAAAACAAAAGTTCATTTCCTCTCGTCATAAATTATCAATATTTTTTCTCGATAAGGAAAGATGTGGGACAGCGATATACGCCACAGACCCCTCCCCTTTGTCACGCCCGTTGCCACATTATTCAGTACCACAGCTGCTTGAGCATGTTGGTAGCGCCACTGAATGCGGTCATCCTTGGATGTGTTCCAGTTTTCTTCCTGAAGTCTGTACAGCACCTCACCCAACAGTCCTGATGAAACAGCACAGAGTATAGCCCAGGTCAGTGAGAACAAAGTCACCGTGAAAAAGAAGCAAAACACAAAAATGTATTAAGGATTTGACCAAGGTCGAGAGTACTTTTTTAGCCACAGACGTGTCAGTGGCGGTGGGGGAGGGGGGGAGAGCTCGGTTATGTTTTAAAATAAACTTTATTTAGCCATTGACATAGTTGGTAACTGGCTCGTCTCCTTTCTAAAGTGAGAAAAACTAGAACTTTTCGTTCAATTAAAAAAGCGAGATACATAAAGATGTTTGCCTGAAAAATTGAACTGAAAGAGTGTACCACGTTTAGTTCGCACTCGCTGGAAAGGCATTTCCCCCCCTGCTAGCTCTCACCTATCCAACTCCCTCAGTAAATCCTTTCGTTCTCATCTCAGTGTTCTCCGGGATGGGGAGGGGCCAGTGAAAATTGAGTTTCTCGCCCAGCACCACAACGCAATGACCCTATTTCAGGGCCCAAACCCTCTGTTAAGGTATAAATTATGCTAGCCATTTCATAGCTTGTCTCCGGCCCACAACAAAACTGATTGGGTACTTACAAAAAATCTCCATCCTCTCGGTGATCCACATCTCTTATCCAAGTTGAACAGAAAGCTGACAAACACGATAATAACTGTCACAAGTCCGGCAATAAACACCACATAAAACAAGTTTAACCTGTTTGTTTGCCAGTCAGGCAGGTTTGATAGATCTGCATCCTTGTGGTACTGAGCAGTACATGCCACAGCGGCGGACAGAAGGGCCTGCAATTAAGAAAAGAATTTATACAGTTGGAAAAAAAAGCATAATCATTGAATTCATTTGCTGGATTCAGGAGAAGCGAAGCAATTTGACGTCTTTAATAGATTCCGTCCCTTCAGAAGGTCGAAAATTGATTTTTTAAAGTGCTTAGGTAATAGACCAGTGCTACTCATATATTTCTATTATTAGTCAACGTGGTTGGCGCTTTTTGGGCACGCGATTAAAATAAAGGTTGTGAGCCGTGAAAACAGTTGCTAGTATAATAGCGGCTCCGTCTCTAAAGACTTCCGCAAAACCTTCAGTTACACAGTCAGGCTACTAATTCATCTCCTCTTAGTGATCTTAATTCATTCTCTATCTCGGCCTCTTTTCCGATAAAATTTAAACGGACTCCTTACAGGAGAGGTGTGCTCCACAAGCGTTATGATTATTATCTCCATCATTACTATGCATATATAATTATAGGGTAGCGACTTCAAAAGAGTAGCATTGTCGTTCAAAAATGGTAAATGTTGAAAATTCCACTACAAGTACGGCAAGTTTGAAGACAACTCAATTTGCTTTCCTAAGTAAAGGATTTTGGTCTACACCAAAATTGTATTGATCTGGTAGCAAAAATAGCAAAGAGACCGATTTGTGAATTATAAAATCTGAAATTTAGTTTATTGTTTTGTTGTTTTCCGAGTTCTCCCTGACTGAGAAGAAGATGCAAAACGGGACAAAAATGAGTGCGATTCGGGAAGAAATCGTACTGCTGAGAGCCAGTCAGATTTCTTGGGTCAGCTTTGAATTTAACCCTTTCGCTCCAAGATCTGATTGTTAATTCTCTCAATCCTCTGGCTGCTACATATTTCCTTGTAAGTTAGTTATGAGAATTTGGTGTCAGATCAAGGTAACAACTTCTACCTGATAAGTTTGAGTATTTTCGTCACCTGTCTTCTGGATAATGTATGGACATTGTCAGGAGAAGTTACATGTCAATCACTTCTGGGAGTTAGGGGGGTTAACATAGATGTAGTGCATAATTTTACACACCAGTTCTAGAATTTTCAGCATTCCCTCGGGATCCAACAGATACATCCAGTTCACGGTCTCCATCCTTAGCTTCCAGTCAAACAAAAGTAGTAATCCACTGAGTTTTATACTATCTGAAATTCGGAGAAAGAAACATGATAAGAGCGATAGTGCAGGCTTAACTTGTATAAATTAATGCAATAATTGATACTGATTTCAACTAAAGTATTGCTACTTTACCCAAATAATTTCACTATGGCACTAGTAAATTAGTTAATGAGCTGTTTCGGTTTTGAGCAGTTCTGACAGCTCACCGTGAGGTATCAGTATAATATTTCCCAATCGAATGGGGATAAAATTCATAAATGTGATCTTGCGAAGGATGAGTCTCACAGAAAGTCAGTCAGTCAGTCAGAAAGTAAGTGATTCATTTGTCTGGAAGCCACTTATTCAGTCAGTCAGGCAGCCACTCTGTCAGTCAGTCAATTAGTCTGTCAACAAGTCAATTTTGTTTTATCAACTGAGTTGAAGATGTCAGTGGGCCACCGTAAAGAGTTCGTAGAGCTGACATCTCGAGTGTTAGCCCTCCGTTCATTCGCTCTGGCCCGGCCGAGTGCCAACGCTCCAAACAGCAGGTTTAAAAACCCACAACAGTGGCCAACTTAAATTATCAGCTAAGTTCATAAATCTAAAATGTAGTGTCATACCCCCACCGACCCAGCACCGAAGAAACTCGCCTCCTATAATTATATGTCAATAACTTAGTTCATGTTTTCGTCCTTGACTCCGTAAGTCAGTCAGTTTACGTCGGATAAGACCTAACATTTAAAGGATAATGATGCTTTTCAAACATGACAGATAAATTCGTATGAAATGATAGATATACATGATAACCTTCAATAGTGAAACACTTGAATTCAACCAGGTTTAAAATCTAATTCATTAACCTCTTCAGGTCAACTTAACACACACCATCTTGTCATGAAGATGTCTAACTTCTCACACTATCTTTTCTATCAAGTTCAAGTTAAGCCTTAACAAATGAAGAATGCATCTGAAAAAAACGGAAAAATTTAAAAGCTGAAATCTGCAGCGATAGTAAAGTGAATGGTATAGCTTGGAATTACATAAGTTCTTCAAGTGTCTTCAAAACTCGTACGACTTATCACTTGCTTGCAAGCTGATTCCAGACTCAATTATTTTGTCATGACAACTAAAGAAATATCCATGAGGCAACTCAGCTTAAAACAAGATCTAAGTAATTGAGTTTCACTCGGACAGCAAATCAGTGTAAGCAGTGCAAGCCTTACCTTGAAATAGAGACTGACTTTTGCCCGACTCACATCTATTCACCATTCGCAATACTTACTCTGCATTCAAATCATGGAGTTGTAGTTCAGAAATGGAGAGCTTACGTCATAATAAACAAAAACATTTTCATGACGTGCAAACCGTGCCACAGGTGTCTCGAAGGATCGAGACTATCCGCTGAGTTCAGTAAGAACGAAAAAACTCAACTAGGTAAGAACAACTCAAGAATGAACAAACAAATACTTATGGCCAAGAATAGAGATTTTGAACATGCTGTAAATGAAGACTTGTTGTAAAAATCACAGGTCAGATTTCCTAATGCACGAATCATAAAGAGCTCTTTCGAGTTGTAGATAAATATTAAATGGGAAGACCACAGATCAGAGGCAGCGGAGCGTTTTGAGAGAGAGGAGGCTGAAGGCTTAGCGCACATCGAGTCAAGGGCCTACCGTTTCTCAAATTTAATAAAATTATTTTTTTCGTAGGCTGAGCATACACATAAATCTTTGCCACCTTTTGCAATTATTTTTTTTTTGCACAAATTTCTGCGATTGGTCGTAACTTGCATTCGTTTTCCTGTTACCTTACATATAATGACGAGAAAGCAATTATTTTTGGACACCACAACCTCCTTGAAAAACTCTTAGAAATGTGCTTCAAATCAAAATGAGCTCTACGATCCCCACTTTTCTCCAATCTGCAGCGTTACGAAGCAGGTAAAAGACTCAAGGGTCAAATTCATTTTAACGGCTTTCGTATCTACAAATCAAAGCTAACCACATGGGGCTAAAGGCATGAAAACTGCTAGCAGAGTGAACTAACTTTTAGGTATGGGGAGAAAACAAATAACTTAAAGGTTCAGCTCGGACAACTTTTGAACAATTGTCATAAAATTGCAAAGTAGCCGAATAAGAACTTTACATTGTTCAAATTTACGTTTTACATTATGCCTTACACTCGTAACAAAAAAGTAAAATTTACATTGATTGCTACGAACAATTTAATTTTTCCGTCTCATTTCCCAGTCTGGACCACTCTTCTGTTCGACTTTTCGTCCATTTGGAGGAAAAAGAAGGAAAAAATTTATTAATTTGGAAAGGACCACCTCCAGTTATAATCTTCTGCCCTTCTACCTACCTTTACTCGCACAGAGCTAAAATAGGTTCACTTGAAAGTGATCTTACTTACTCTCACAATGCAACGGAGGGGGAGTTATAATAATCACGGTTTTAAATGCAATACTCCTTGCACCAACTAAAAATAAAATTATCGTATCGCGAGCTAAATAGTTTAATATTCGATTGAATAAATAAGAAATTGAATTCCACATTTTCTTTCGTCGAAGTAAATTCTCACAAATGAAAACTAATCAGATTATTGATCGATATTCAGTGTGATTTAGTATCTGATTCAAAGTAAGCAAGTTGTTTTTCGGTTTAATTTCCATATTTTTTTCTTCAACCGGTGAAAAAAAAATCTGTTTTATTCAACTCGCTCCCCAAGTGATGGTTAAGAGCAACTACTTAATCCAGTCAAAATGTTAAATTTGGAGCAAATATTAGCCGAATTCACCAACAACTGAATGAATTTGTTCTCGCTTTATTTATATTCTAAGGTGAATAATTCACCCATAGAAATTTCAACCGCACTGCTCAACTAAACTAAGGGAATATTAACTGCAGATTTTAGTATTCAAATACCGTACATTTTGGAAAGTATAGAATCTCCATGGCTGTCAAGAAGTGGTTAATGGCCTGTTGCGTAGGATTTATTAGCTCTTGGAACCTCCTTTTTTAACATTTCATAACCCTCAGACGGTAGTCATCTTTTGTTTGAAAGCTTACCAATCCTCCCATTTGATCAAAGAACAAAAATTTAAACTTTTTACTTCCACTGTAGTCGTTACCATTAGAAAAAAATTGTCAATACTTAAATCCAAAACATGAAGTTTGAATAGCACATGCGGTCATTCAGCGGCAAATTAACGGATTTTCCCGTCTGCTAAATGAGCTGGAAATTCTGAGTCCTAAATTTCCCGATCATTAAGCAACCTGTGTAGGTATATTTGTCATTAAAACACTCACGGCAGTCTTAAGCTAATATTTAACACACTAGGTAATTACTGCTATTTCATGCCCAATATGAAAAACTGAAACTGATACTGAATAGGAATACAAAATTAGAACGCTGTATAGATACAGTAGAAACCTGCATTGAGCGGCACCTTATTAAAGCAGTCACCTTGTTTAAGCGGTCGAGAGAGAGAGTTGACAGAGTTCCAACCGGCTGTTTGTATTGTCCTCCAACCTGTGGTGAACAGTCACTTACAGCGGAACCACTCAACAAAGACTAACACTAACCTTTCAAATAAAATCTCATCCATTTTTAACTCCCGAAATCACTCTTAGACATACTTTTTACGAGTGTTTGTATATTTAGGGGTCAATTATGGCATAAAATAGCGTTTTTTCGTCGTTTTCTATATCCCTATTCTGTGCAACCTGTATGGATGACCACTAAATACTGGTCCGGCTGTACTTCATAGTAGCACTGCAAAAGAGATCATCTCTCTTCAACATTACTATAAAATTTGAAACCAAACATAGAAATTACCCACGGAGGCTTCGTTTTCTTATGTACCTGTTTGTACGTACAGTATCAAAGATATGCGAGTGGTGTTAGTGATAGCGTTACAGAAATGGCACATTGTATTTAAGAACTGTACATAGCAGTACATTTTGAACTGCCTTTCACCACATGTATCTTTGTTCTCAAAGGCCACCTACAGGCATTATATGCACAAAACCTGAATTATTTAAATATCATATTTCAATGAAGTTATTTAAGTAAATATCTACAGCAGACTACATAATACTAAGCCAATACAGCAAAAATGTTCATATCAGAACAGCATTTTAAACTCTTCGCCTGCTGATTTTAATTATTTTCAAGAAAAATTGTTTGAATGATCTGGTAAAAGCTTAAATTAAGTAACCGGTGAAACTGGCGCCATTAAGCTGAGAGGGTACTGCCAATAACACAGCACAAAAACACTCCCAAAAGTACCTAATAAATACATCAATAATTGTCATCTCAAAGTTACACACGAATACCAGAGTGTTCACACCTAAAAAACATTTAAATGATACGACCCATCGACCCTATGGGTGTCATACAATTATTATAACAACACAGGGTCCACCTGTGTTGCAGAGGTATGTTGGTCAAGAAATAATATTGGGTCCTTCCTATCAAATAATTTCTAGATCCAACCCTTGAGGTGTCAAAAATTTTACAACTGAGTGTATGTTGATCAAACATTCAAATGACATGGAAATGATAAATTCTTCAATTTTTAAATAACCTCAAGTTCGTATTTAGTTAATATTGGGCCCCAGTTGACTCCACAGGTTCACCATTATCATTATTCTCTCCCTCAAATGACGCTGGCTGCTCTGCTGCCGATGTGTTCCTGTTCTTCAAGCAGAACACTACGGTATCCACAGCAAACAACACCATTGTAATGATTCCAAATGCCTGACGTACAAAAAGGAAAATATGAGTGTTACTGACCCAGTGTAAGGTCTACATCACACTATCACAAGTTTCAAGCTCACACTCCATAGTTACTCCAAAGTTGCCATTTGGCAGCCTTAAATCATGAAATAGCTCAATAATTAAAAAATTGATAAAATGGTGATGAAAATATGAAAAAAGTAGGTTTTCTTATTATTCCATTCTCCATATTAGTAGTGCATGATCCTTAGTTCACAATTTTTCATACTGTAACATAACTTAATGCTTCACCACCTTTTATATTACTAATTAAAAGAAAGTCATTTTCCAACTTCTACAGTGCAAGGCCCTTTCTCTATAGCATTTCTTTGAAAGTTTTAGTCCAGTTAGTACCAACACCAGTTGCAGTATAATGTTAAAACCAAAATTTTACAAATATGGTCATATCCTTGTGTCTTTGTTGCCCTGAAATCTTGATCTTTCTGATAGCTGACTTATCCATTATCAAAACAGAGCTATAAATTACCCAGAATACTTGTTATTTAACAACTATATGGATTGTACTCATTGAAGTGAAGGTGGTTAATTGGTGGATATATCCATAAATATCCACGCTAGCCACTGACACTGAGGTGAATAGCTGGTTGAGTTTATACAAAAATGGTGAGATAATATAGCAAATAAAGATGCTTCATTTATTCCTGGAACAATTACAATAATTTCTGGAGCAAACCATTTGTCATTCACCTCTGGAAAACATGCACAGGAGTTTTGAATAGCAAATCAAAGTGCACCTTCCAGGCTATCCACTTTAACAGTTGCAGTATTTACTAAAAGAAGGTATTCCAATTTTTCCAACCTTAAACCTTTTGACTCCCATGAGTGACCAAGATAGAACTTCTCCTTACAATATCAAGCAGACAAGTGATGTGATTTAAGAAAAATATCAATTAGGGGATAATAGTTGATCCAATACCAAATTCTCTTACCTATCATCATAAGAATTTTATAGCAGACAGTAACGAGAATTACTAATGAGATCTTGGGAGTTAGAGGGTTAAAAATGTATGCTTATAGAGTAAAATGAGAACAAAGGCACCAGCAAAAACCTTCTTATGATTTTTCATACTGTCTTGCAGAAGAACTAAAAGCTTACCCCAGCTGCCTCAACATTGCCACAAGGTTCTAAATTGCAGACCATAAAGTAACTTCCCCTTACATCATGCTTCTCACTTCTTCTAAAGTGCACTGCAGTATCAAGGACAAGAGATGAGGCAAGCAACAAAAGAAAGGCTGTAACAGGAGAGTATACTGCCATCTGTTGAACAGAATAAAATAACCATGACCTGTCAGAAAGAATTTACTCCATAAAAAATGTGTTCTACAGGCTTAACATGGTTGGAAAGACTTGGCTATTACTCACATAAATTATATACAAAAAGGTATAAAGATGATAAATGTTCGCATTACTCTTACCAGGAAAGTTCAGTGTTCCAATAAAAATGATAATTGTAGGTCACAAGCACAGGACAAAGGATAGTTTTTCATTGTCCTTCATAAAAGAGGGATTGATACAGCATCTTTCTTTTAATCATTCTAGTCATCAAGCTTCAAATTTTACCATGTCTCTTGACCAGCTTACAAACTGCTGAATCTAAATGTCTGCAGGACACTTGTCACATGTCACATGTGAACAAAACAAAAATTTCTGAGTTCCCCTGTGGAATCAACCCCTAGACCTTTAGATTCTGTGCTGCATTACTCTACCACAGAGCCAAGAAGACTTATAATGGTGGGCAAGGTCAATACTCTGTTCATTTGTGACATTTGTCCCTTGACGTACTGCTACAATCAGCAATGTTGCAGCAATCTACAATTAACATTTGTAGCTGGACTTCAAATCTGATGAGAAAACTCAAGTACTTTTTTATGCCATGTTTGGGTCAAATGATTTTTATCTTATAAGTTTCTTTATCATTCAATTGTGGTATCGTTAGCAATTCAGTAAAATGCTATTTTGTTATGGAGAGCACACTTTCCAGAATGGCGTACAAGTTTTTATGCCTCTGCACCTTAACAATGTTACACTTTCTTTCCTGGATTGTACAACACTGCAAGGGCAAAGGGAGTTTTTCAGCGACTGAAACTGATTGATTGTATTTTTTTAAGTCTCAGTACTGCTTACAAATATGTATATTACAGATGGAAGTTATTTCCACTTTGGTAAAGAGATGTCCAAAGAGTATCTTTGTCTCTTTAAGATTCCAACACCCTATCCCTACCATGTTGTACAATGTACCTCAAAGTTTTCCTTGTACAGGGGGTACTTGGAAAAAATGGGTCAGATGAACTAAAAAATTATGCATGCGCATGTTTATCTGTCTACATGTAAAATGCAATTTTCAAGTGAGTGTTGAAAGTGCACATATTTCAGGATAAAATTGCCTTGCAACCCAAATTCAAAACTAAAACCAATCACACCTTGATCATTCAAGTGTTCCTTATGTTTACCTATTTCTTCTTTGAATTCTCATTGATTTTTTTCAATACCTTCCTTTACTCTGACTGGCTTTTGCGATTACTTTGGTTTAGCTTGAACAACAGTCAGTTAAAAAGCTCTTCATCTCAAAGGTATAGTGTAAATGTGTACAACTTACAAAAAGGTTCCAGTTGATAGCAATCCTCTCATGAAGCCTCAGCATAAAAAAGACAAACAGAAAAATCACCACCAACCATGATGTCACAGTTGCAAAATAAAAGAAGTCAAATCTTCCACCATATCGAGAATCAGTGTAATTCAGTGTAAAGCCAGAAAGGCACGCAAATGCTAACAGAAGGCCAAACTAAATGAGAAAAAAGGAAAGTTTCTCGCACAACATGACTTACAATCTTGAACTCCCATAAGTAACTAAGATATAATTTCTCCTTAAAGACATAATTACAATTTTATCATATTAATTAACAAAATAAGTGATGAGAATAAAGAAAGAGATGATCCATCAAATTTATTTTGCTTCCAAGTCATTGGTCTAAATGCATCGATCATTATTGATCATGCTTCAGCTAAAACTCAAAAGAATAAGTCGTTTGTAAACTATTTTCCCGCTTGTTGGAAAAAAATTTGAAGGATGATAAAGAAATGGCCTCCATTTGGCAGGAAAATATGCTTGACTGTGTATTTGTCTGCAGACATTATCTGTTCCGAGATGCAAACCGTTTTCTGAGAGTGAATAGAGGCTTCTGCTTATATATCAATTAAGGTAATAATTAGTTGATCCAAAGCCATATTCTCAGAACTAAGATCATAAATTGTAAAGAAAACAGGAAGGAGAATTATTAATGAGATCTTGGGAGTGAAATGTTTGAATAAAGAATCTAGTCTTGTGTTTACAAATAAAAGCCCATGTAGGGGTGTGTGGGTCAGGACAAAGTTTTAGGCTTTTTAGAACTTTCCTTCCTCCCTCACACTTGGCAATCGTAAATAATTCCAAGCAGCTGCTTCATGCGTTGTGCAAGTTATAAATCAATACTGATCACTTGACCTGCTGCGTTAAACGTTAAGTTTACGTACAATTTCCAAAATTTTAAGAAGTCCTGGTACACTTTTTAAGTAGTCAAAATCCAAACCAGTCTGTCTCGTCCGTAGATTAGGGTCTTCCATCTTCAACTTCCTCTGTGCCCGCTGTTAGAATGTCTCAATCTACAATTCAAGAACGATCGAAGGGCAATATTATAGAAATGTCACAATACGTGTAGGCCGGCTTTCGAGAGATCTTGACAGTTGTTAGCTGACTGTAATTTCCAAAAATAAAAACCTTTTGTATTAAATGTAACTTCAATAGAGCGAAAGTGAGTGCTCTTTGTTACTTTTAAAAACGACAGAAGACATCGCTTCTAAATCGTTTAATAAACATTTACTTATGTACGCGCCTAAAAACGAAAGTGATACTTTTTCACGTTCACTCAGACATAAAAATTTTGAACCGTTGCAAAGTAATGTAAAATAGAAAGAATACAAATGATGAGAAAAAGCGGAGTGATTAGGGAAACCCTTAAACGCATTTGTCACTTTCGAGTAGCCCATTTGAAAGGTCAGCTGCATGTTCGGTTGATTGAATCTTTTCGGTTAAAATTTCGTTTCTCTCTTCTTTTCTTAGTGATTTTGACCAGCGACAACAATTAAGTTTACCATTACACACATGTTTCTATTCAATTTTCGAACTATTTAAGGAAGAGTTACAACAAAGGCTGAATATAACGTTCGGTATATTAAACTCATGCAACTAAGAGCTTTCTCCAGGAAGATTTTGTACTGTTCTCAAAGGTGGAATTTCATCGAGTCGAATTTTAACAAATATACGGAATAGTAAAAGAATTTTAAAAGTGTAAAGTTTCTTACCTCGATCAAAGAGGAAGTTTGCCTCGTAGGTGGTCAGAAATGTGAACCGAGATTTACTAAGGCAATTGCACTATGTTTGAAAGAGCAATGATGAGGAAATCAAAAACAAGTATATAAAACCTTTGCTAATTGCCCAAAAAATATTTTGACCAATCATAACTAGTTTTAGAATTTTTTTAGGCGTAAAAAGTGCCTCACTTTCATGCTTACAAAAAATGGCGGTAGTTTTATAGTGACATTGCAAACTGTACACATTTTCATCGCTAAAATCTATCGATCAAAAAGAAGGCCATATGTAATTGTGCGTTACAATCAAGATATTAACTACGGAATGATGTCAGCTCAAGAAACGGCAGATAAATGTAAGATCATGTATGCGATGTGCCGTGCAAATTCTGAGTTAAGATCATGAATTTTAAGTTTACTTTAAATTAATCGTCACTCATAAATTTAGAAGTTAGTCAAGATGTAAGATTACAATTTTTTCTTTGTTGTAGCGTGAAATCAGCTTATCACATGATCGGTGAATAATACATCATCTGTAAATATAGCTACTGATTTTGTCTGGAGTTCATACTTGCAAACTGACCGTTTTGCCGGATATTTCGGGCGAAAATGTCATCGTTTTGAACTTGAATACATACATTACGGTCAAGATCAGCCACAGTTAATTCTTTCCAGCATACGCATATGTGCTGTGTTATGTAAGCTTATGATTTATCATATAGTTGTTGTTACTTGAAATCAGCTGATCACATACACGATCGGTGAAGAACACATCATCGATCAATAAATGTAATGATATTCTTTGAAGGAAAAATTCAGTTTGCAATTTGAAGAAAAAAGTTAATGTTTTGAAAATTATACATGTATTACGAATGAGGCAAGTGTAAAGATTTAATCCCCAGTTCACACCTATGAACAACTACGGTCAAGTTGTGCTCAATACCCCACTTCAAAATTTAATCATGTAACATGAAATCAGTCTATCACATGATTGGTTACAAATAGATAGTCAATAACTGTCATTGCGTTGTACCAGAATTTTGATTAAAAAAGGTTTCCTGAGTATCAATATTTGTTTTGCAGTGAAAAAAAGCTAAAATGTTATTTGCCAGAACTCACCGTACTCATATACACAAAATTTAGTTCACTTCCCCTTAGTGCTTTGCTGCAGGGCAAATCGTCCTAATCGTTTATTTTTCAAGAAGTGTTGAGGTCAGACTCTTTCAGTGTGGGTTGCCTGACTTGATCCTGAAATTTACCATTTGCTAGAATCTTCAGTTTTAATTTCTGCTCCTTGAGTGTACAGATTATGGAACTGCACGAATTGTTTGGAAAGTGAAGTGACTAATGTTTCTTATTTGATAACTTTTAACATTTACACAGTGAACAACAGCCTACCAATTCATTTGACAGCTTCAAATGTACAGCAGAACCCAGAGTTTGTAAAATTGTTAAAGTCACTGACAAGACATCTGACAGACAGTGGCATGTCGATTGCTTTTCAAAAGGACATGTTACAGGTTAGGAAGACCAGGCCAGGTACTGCCTGCCTCAATGCTTTCGTTTTTAGGCAAAATTTTCTCACTTAATATGAAGTTGATGCTATTGAATGGTTACTGATGACAATCAATCCCCTTGTTGAGGCCAAGAAAATGTTACTTAACTTCATCTTACTCAGTAAAGTCTTTAGTTTTGTTTACTTTTATCACATTATACTAACATTGCGATCTACATTAACTAGTTCCTATTACACTGGAGAAATTAACACCTAACTTGCCAAAAAGGAGAAAAACCACAAGTTACTTTTACAAGGCACAGTCTTATAAGGCACTGAGCAAAATTATTTTTTTTTTCTTGAATGAACAGGCTAAAGATGCTTTAAGAGAGCAAAAGTTGAAGTACCTTCAGATTTGGACATTGTACTCAGAGCTTAAAGAGTTGTTGATTGAATATGACATAAAGAAACAAGAAGTTCATCCCAGTTCAGCCACATTACAAGTAAGAGGATTATTCACCTGAAAATGAAACCTTGCTAGTTTACATTATTTTGCAGCAAAATCAGGTGGATGTCAGTTTACTGTCGCTGATTCGTTGAAAACATTGGCTAGAGTATATAGCATCCTCATGGAATAGAGAAGTATAATGGTGATGATAGATACAGTTGTGAGTACAAGGGCAACCTGACATACATGTACATGTATAGTGAAGGGGTAATCAGTGATGAATCTGTATCTTGCCCTCCAAGAGGAGTGCCCCTAATCACTTCATGCCACAGAAATTATGATAACCTCTGGCAGTTATGAAACTAGCTATTTGTAATCACATGATTTCGAGTGCAATTTGGAATAAATAAGCACGAGTAAATTTTTTCAAAGACTAACAAAATTGCATGAGCCTGTAGGGTGAGTGCAATTTGTGGTCTTTGAAAAGATTTACAAGTGCTTATTTATTCCAAATTGCACGAGAAAATCATGTGATTATGTATTAATAATATACGTGAAAAAATATGTAGGTAGCTTCTTATAACCATGCAGAAGAAAAGCGTGCGCATCAGGTGCAAAAATAATTTATTCAAACCCTGCAAGTGACATTGACCTTGACATTGACCTTGACATTGACATTGGCCAGTCATTCTGACCAATCAGAATGTCTGGTTTGTTTCTATCTTTACACTGAATTAACCCTCCTCTGCACTGAATTAACTGAAAATTGCATTCATCTTAACCAATCAGAACTGAGAAATGTTTTTCATGAATATTATTAATTGAGGAACACTTTTCCTCTTCTGTGATTAACAGCTGTATGATACCATGAAGGTGTCAGTTGCACAAGCAGAGGCACTTGATTACATTGATTTCCATACTGAAGGAGGTGAACAATCTGCAACATTGCTTGGACTGAAAGCTGAACAATTGCTCACTGGAGAGCATCAGAAAAAGTCCTTACACCAAGTAAGCTTTGAGTTATTTGCATGTTTTTGTTTTTGGTATTGTGAATGTTGTGAGTTTTCTTATGTGATCAATTAGATAAATTTATTTGCATGTTTTTTTTCGTGGGTATTGTGCATATTTAGTTAAGCCGTTTCCTTGTTTGATCAAGTAAATGAATAAAGGCTGATAGTTTCGAAAGAAACTGTTTGGGGCTGCGTTGGTGGGAATAAACGAAATAATTTGGATATATTAACAAAGTTGAAAGGTTCGCTCCGACGAAGGGCCAACGCTCGAAACGTCAGCTTTTGTAATCATTACGGTGGCCAATTTACCATTTCAACTTTGTTGATATATCCAAGTAAATGAATGATGTGTCTTTTTCTTTTATGCTCAGTCTTTTCAGCAGAGTATCATTCCTGAGCTTGAGACCAGGTTGAGAAGCAAGTGTGAAACAGTAGCAAGTTTCCATAAACCAACAAAACAAGCAGGTATGAATCACTACATGTCTACTTATTTCTTCTCAACCAAAAGTTTGTGTATCATGCCAGCCAGTATTATTCATGCATTACTTTGGTCATATCTTTCAGAGAATGAACAGTTGTCTTTTGCTAAAGCTACCCAGTTGCCAGCATTTCTTGAAAATGAGAAACAGCTGTTGGACCAAGAAAGGAAGCAGTTACATCATAATCGGATGTTGAGGGACAAGCAGTTTAGGCAGTTATATGAGGTTAAGAGTCTTCATTGACTATTGCTCTGCTTTATGCTTGTAGTGTGTCAGACTGTCACGTGGAAGGTCGAGAGTTTAAGCCCCAGACTAGACCAACACTCAGGGTCTTACAAATAACTGAGATGAATTTGCTGCCTTTGTTACGACATCTCCAAATGGTTAGAAATTCTAGTCTTTTTGGATCAGAATGAAAAACTGTAGGCCCCATCTCCTACATCTTCTCTGTGCTGGTTAGGGGAAGTTTTATGAACTTGTACAAATTCCAAAGAGAAGGGAACATAGCTCTAGGTGTTATCATCTGGCCTTGTCATTGTTTATACAAGCCCCCATTTAAACCAGCTTTGAGCTGAACTGGGCCAGCCTGTCTAAATATTACAAATACATACATGCATAAGGTTTTTAACATAATTATCATTAAAAATGTTATTTAATATTGATGTCAATCATGTTATAGTCCTCTGAAGAAACATGCTTACTGTTACAGAGGGTTCCAATTAGGTCACATTCCTGGCTTGTGATGTAGAGATTTAGATTAATTTTGTTTCTTACTGTTTTTACATTGCTGTGAGGATAAAAATTGACAGTAGCATGAAACGAAATCAATATTTTGGCTCTGAACCTCAGATTTACACATTGTTGAAAGGTTCAGTAGCAAAAAATAATGAGTGAGGGGATCTTGCGATGCCCATTTCATTCTTAGGGGGCAACTTGCTAGACCAAGGGTTAATGCGTATGGTAAGTATTATTACAAATCACATTCCTGCTCAGCCATTTATGTGGACACTTTATTTTTTTTTGTAATGCTAGGTCTTGATGCAGTCACTTCAAACTCTACAAAAACTGATAGCAGACCATCGGCTGCAGTCTCAAGCAAAGCATGACAGGGTGATGGCAGAGTGGTTGGCTGCCAAGTGCGATGCCATGTGTCTAAAAGTCAGGTATAATCATTGGCATTGAGTTAATTTAACACAGCAATTGGTTATATCAACTAAGTTGAAATAGTAAACTGGCCACCGTAACGAATACAAAAGCTGACGTTTCGAGCGTTAGCCCTTCGTCAGAGCGAATGGAGGAATTGTGGGTTGTATGTGGTTTTATATGCAGAAAGGGGAGCTACGCCATAGGTGGGAACATGGCAACGAGAAAAACACGAATAAATTAGTGGAATGAAAAGCGTTCGTTGATACCTGTGAGATTAAGAGGGCCGATTTGAAAGATTAACTTTTGTTCAAGAGTTTTGCGGCTTTCCGCTTTTTGCATATAAAACCACATACAACCCAGAATTCCTCCATTCGCTCTGACGAAGGGCTAACGCTCGAAACGTCAGCTTTTTTATTCGTTACGGTGGCCAATTTACTATTACCAATTACCTTGTTACCCCCACCGACGCAGCACCACAGTTTCTTTGGAAACTTTCAGCCTTAATTTAACACAGTTCCTCAGCACAGTCATGCACTCATAATATCCTGCAGCCTGCATGAGGTGAATAGCAATATCCTTGCAATGGTTCCTCTTTTCAAAGGACGAAATAAAGAGAAAGTTAAGGAACAATTCTGGTTGATTATGTTAAACTGCATTGAAGCAATATCAAAAAAATTTCAATCTAGGCAATGATAAGAAAGAAAAATATGAACTAAACGATATGGTTTGATGCAAAATATTTTTTCGCATGGCAGACAGTATTGAGAATTGATAGTTCGATCTTTGAATGGGAATTATGGTGGACAGTATCGCGAATTGACAGTTAGATCTTGGAAGGGAAGAGGAGAAGGCTTGGAAATGAGTTTGGGTAATTTCTTCCCAGGACATCATTACATTTTCAAGATGGGCAGTGACAAGTACCAACTAGAGGATACTGTTCGATGGAACACCTAAGGCTCGGCGCAATCTTTATCAGAGATATTAGCAGATAGCGTAGACAATTGACAATTATATTTTGGGAGAGAAAGATTTAATCACTGCTGTATGCTTCCTTCGTAGAGTTCTTCAAAATCAGATGATCAGGGACACGTACACTCCTGAAGCCATTCAAGCTCTTAGAAGAATCAAGTATGCGCGCTTAACAATGCCTTTCTTAACAGCTGTTGAGTCTCTCACTCTTTCAAGCAGTTTTCAATTGAGTGGGGAAAGTAATCCGAAAACGTATTGCTGTTGCTTTTCTTTCTCTGAGATTGATCAAGAAAACTCGCGCAACTTTCTCACTCAATCAGAATTTTAGAGACGAAACCATCTGTCGCGGCAGAGCTGGAGATAACGTGGGTTCAAGCGCGAGGGGTTTTAAATTCAATGAAATTCGTGGAAAAAGGGGCTGGCATTTTAAGGTGGCTGAACACAGTTTTTGCGCACGCTTTTGCTGATGCAATTCAGCGCGCGAACAGGGATTGCAAAAAACAAATATGCCGTCAATAGAGCGGTCATTTTATTTACTCAACACATACCCACACTATCTGATATATTTTTCTCTATAGTTGGCGCTGTGTATTGAAGGCTTTAATCTTATATTACAAAAATATGTTAGAAAAGTTAACGGTGCAAAGAACCCAGCAATTCTCAGCTTTTTCGTCGTTACCGAAAGAACCCAGTTAAATGCAGCGCATGCGTAGTAAGTAAAAAAATTGCGATTGAATGGAAAATTGCTTTCTCGGAAATGTGCCTATTTCTTTAGAACCACTCATTAGTATTTCACGAAATTTGGCACGAAAGTACTTTAGGAAATAAGTAACTGGAGTATTGAAAAAATTTGATTTTAAACAAAGGAAATTCTAGAAAATAAAGTGAACCTTCAACAAGGGATAATTAAAGATCTCTGTTAAATTGTTAGCAAAATGAAGTTAACTTGTGAGTACCATTACAAGCTCGTTGCATGCAAATTATAAAGAAAATCTGATGACTAGATTATCTACAAAGAAACAAAAGCGATTTTAATTGCCTGTTTATATCTATTCATGTCGCCATGGCAACGGCACATACGTCAGCTTAACTATCAAAAAAACGAAGTTTGTGTTGTTAACTTGCTTGCTGCCAATGTTGGCGACCGAGAGATCAAGGGTTTGAGAGAAAATGGTGAAAGAAACAAAGGTATCAAAAATTGTTCAGCCACCTTAAACCGAGGCATTATGCTGTCGTCGAAGGCATTTTCCTATTTCCGGTGTTTATAAGGAGAAATTAATTTTTAAAAGTATTAAGGGGGGTGTACGAAGTTTTTGGAGGTTGCACTCAACGGAAGGCGAACAAGGCCTCGAAGAAACAGAACGGAGAATCAAACATGCAAACGATCTTAGTTTATGCCAACACAGCGGTCAAACGTCGGGCATGCGCGAGGAGATCAACTCTGACCGGCCGCGCGCCAATTTCCCGCGCAAAGTTTCGAAGGAAATCATGGGAAACAACTGTTGTCACGTCAGATGTGCAGACAAAACTGAAAATTTCATAGAAATCTATGCAAACTTGAGACTTACCGAACACAAAGCTTATTCAAGTAAGGGTGTCGTGTTGATTTACTCTTCTGTTTTGAGCTTCATCAAAAAAATTTACGCTATTAAAACACCGTGACCTACTGGCGTGAGTAGTTGTTTGTAACTTGCGTGAGACAGCTTGGTCATTACAACTTTAGCACGTTGCTCAGACTTAATTTCTCTGGGCCACATTTGTCACAGAATTATTAAATTTTTTTTTCTTTGCATTCACCCAAGGGCCTATTTAAAAGACGCAGAAGAGGAGAGCACTGCTGAGTTTCACCGACTCACACAAACACTTCTTGCTTACGAATCAGTTGGAATGGGTTTTGATTCCCTTGTTCAGCAATACACTGCACTCATGGCGGAGATTGACAACAAGAAATGGGCGCTGAGAGAACTGCGACAAAATCAAGGAAGTGAATTGGATGACTTGTGGAATCAACATTAACGTGAAAACTACGGAACGGCGTTCCACCTGTATCAGACAAAACTGCAGCTTCGTTGTGAAGCAGTTGGAGCGATCACGGAAATGACAATATCTTAAATTCCTAAATTAATTAAGACATCTTTCTTTTCATAGAAGAGATGTTAAGAATTGAATAAGACGTGAACCTGTTGAAGAGCGTTATATGAGAGACTCCTGTATATTGTCTCCCAGCAGCAAATATCATTCATTTTTTGAATACTCCTCTTAACGAGTCGATGATATGGGTCGCAAAGTTTACATTTTTAAACCGACAAGCGATACGAATTCTGATCGAATACTATGACAAAAAAAAAGAAAAAAAGTTGAATTTGATGCATGTGCAATTTCAGGACACTGTCATGAGGCCAACAACAACCACAACAATCTATATTTTTAACTTTTCTCATTTACTTATGTAGAGGCAATTTCCTTTGCCAACGGATAATTACTGCTACAATGAGTGTCAAAAGTAATTGGCACACCTTCAACTGACTAGGTGGTCGATAACCCTCCACTCAACATCAATGTTGTAATTCATCTCCAGGGAGTAACTTGCGTCCCCCCCTCCCATCCCCTCTCCAAACGGGGGAGGAAGAGAGATAAAAGAAATTTATAAAGAAACTTCAAAAAGTAGTTGAGCGTGCGAAGACTTTGGCCATTCATTGTAGTTTGAGCGGGCCAACAAACTTTTATAGATGCTGTCATGTCGTTTGTCAACCACACACTTATCGCACTTTCCAGTACTGCTAAGAATTATGAGATATGACAATCTAAGTAAATAAAAGTATAGTGTATGGAAAGGTGAATGAAGGAATATAAATGCTCACGGTTCAGTGCCTCTCTCGTGTTTGGGCTATCTGACAAAGGACCCTACGGATGGCAAACGTTCTTAAATGTAAGATTTTCTAACTTTAAACATATGTATCAGCTTGTTTGAATAGATACGACTTTGGTAGCCCCCCCCCCCCGCTACTTGTTGGTAAATTGCAATCAAGGAGTTTCATCTCTCTTACTTTTTTTTTTTTCAATCTGTACTGTAAGTTCAGAGCCGAGCCATCTTAATTTCTCGATAACTTCATTTCTTCAAGAAAACAAAAAAAATTGAGGTGGAAATAACAAATCAAAGAATTGTTGTTTGAAAATAGCGACACCATCTTAAGCCACCTTACAGCGTTTCAGGAAGAGGTATTAGTTTGCGTTAGAGGTATTTTTCTTCGAAAAGCTCGGCCGATCAATGTCTTGACGGTTTCAACTTTACTCGAGTTCGACGATAATTTTAATGTTCCCGGTTGATTGCATCACTGCGCACAAATATCTTTTAATATCTGCATGGACGATGTAATATAATCTTCTGCTTGTGCTTTGGTGGTAACATGTGGGAAATATTCCACGGCCCAGTAAAGTTTTCCATCCACCGTCAGGATATTGTTACCAAATACATGGCCCAATCTCTCACCTCTCAGGCCAAAGTACATCCCGGCAAATTTAAACGGACACTCCCCTCCCTGGCTCGTCTGGAGGGCTCCACAGTTAGTGATAGTGATGACCTGGCTCCTACGACCTTCATTGTGTTCATAATTGTGCAAGTTGCAGTACGCTTTGCTACCAGCACAATAATAAAGCTTCAAAAGGTTGAGGTGCTTCCCAGAGTCTAGCTGCGAGTGTACCTCGCGAGTACACGTGCGAGCAAATTCCCAGAAGCCATCTTTGTCATCGGGGTAAGCTAGGGGAACTGAAATTGATAAAGCACTTGCGGTCATATAGGCTCCAAACTCAAAGGTTTCAACCTTTGGCTGGCACTCTTTTCTTAGACTGACTGTGTAGGCTGAATCGATGGAGACTGGGGTTTGAAGATCGTGTTTTTTCACGCGGAGAATTCGCGCGATCGCTTGATGCGTGGAGGCAGTTATGGCACCGTGAACTGTGCACTTGTTGGCTTTACAGTTCTTTATCAGCAACTTTGTGTCTTCTTCAGACAGACTTCGGCCGAGGAGACAGGTTTTTTTCTTCACCGACGGATTTGAGTCGGCAACAGGGGGGTAAACTGAAAGGTACAGATTATTTGGTTTCACAAAGAAAGTTTTAGCCCGTTGAAGTGCGAAAAAGCTTGAAATCAACACTTTCTCTCCGGTGCTCGGTTCACCTCGATTCGATAGCAGCGATTCCAAGGGGGGTCTAAGAGGCAAGCTTTTAACTTCAAATTCGTCACCATTGTGAAGAGCTGCTAAAAATTCCACTAGCTTTTGTTGAAGCTGGAAGACGGAAAGAGCGTCGCAGATTGTATGTTGGAATGTAAACAGCAACGCGTTATTGTATTTGTCTTCGCGGAATGACTCTCTCAGGAGCCCCACTCGCCATAGAGGACCAGTTTCAAGGATGAATGGAGGGCCATCTGCTTCTTCTTCGAAGCCTTTTTCCCATTCATCAGCCATTATCTCGTCCAATACTCGAAAGTCTACTGTTTCTGGGTTTTCCATTTCTTCAAAGCATGGTTCAGCGCCGCTCTCGTTAATTTGCATCCGTAGCAAAGGAAATCGTTTGGGAAGCAGACCGAGGGCTTTCCGCAGGTGGTCTTGATTCAGTTCTTCGTGAGAATCTAGTAGCAGCACAGAAGTAACAGTGCCCCAATTATTTATCTTTTCTCTGTCGAGCAGCACCCGCTCTGTCATGCCAAGAGGTCTAGAATGAGTACTCTTCGCCATGAAATCGTTCTGTTTCACAGGATATTTTGCAATATTCAAGGCTCGAAGTCCCTCTACCTTGTTTTTCACCGACGGGAATTTTTTGTGGGCGCCTTCAATAACTTAGATTTGTCACGATCGCTGGTACTGTTTGGAAAAATAAATCAGTGCACCGATACTCCGTGATCTCGTTTTCACGCAGGCGTCCCAAGCTGACGTCTCGAGGAAAAACAAAAGATTATTTCTTGAAAACGTCAGGCGTTGTGTGACGTAGTGTTAAGTTGCGTGAGGGGGGGGGATTTCTGGTCATCAAGAAATTTTTTTTCTTGCAATCTGCTGTGCAGGATATTTTTTTCCGATTTTTGGTACCTTTTTTCTGTTACATTTGGGCGGCATGCAATTTTTTTCTTCCAACAAGCGCTTGCAGGAAATTTTTTTTTCAAAATCACCCACCCTCCCTCAAAAGTTAAATGGTCAGCCCCTTATATGGAATATTATGGGTAGCGAAAAATGGTCCGTTTACAACACTAATTATTTCGAACTATGAACATTTCACTTCTTGTGTGTCCGTTGTGTTTTTTAGGTGGTTTGCACGTTACGTCATTTCCACCATGTGGTCGACGTAAACAATAGATATTTCATTAGCTTCTTGTGTTCGTCCATCAGCATTTGTTCCTTTTACCATTATTACCTGTATCTCTAGAGACTGGTTGCAAACCACCTATTTCTGCCGTTTTGGGCTTGCTTTACCATCACTGTTTTTCCTGTTATCAGACTTCAACGGACACAAGAAGTGAGTCATGGTTTTATCAATTTTAGTGTAACATGTTCATATTTCGGAATATTTAGTGTTGTAAAATGGATTATATTTCGTTGCCCATACTATTCCCTATAACGCATTCAAATTCTCAACGGTTCCTCTCGTAGCTTAACACCGCGTCAAACAACGTTACGCGTGACGCTTTCAAGAAATATAATCTTTTGTTTTTCCACGGGACATGAGCTTGGGACATGAGCTTGGGACACCTGTGGGTTTTCCAGGTTGTCATGTGCTTACGAAAAATGTCTGTGACGTCAGAAGATTTCGCTAATATTGAACCAGCAGCTTATTAACCATCTGTGTATGATGATTTGTGACAGATAAACCATTTAGCACATAGGATAAGCTAGGTAAATACGCAAAAAAGAAAAAAGAAAAAACAAATTCGTTTCCTAGGCACTGACGTTTTCCTTATAATTCTCTCAGATTAACTATAAAGAATTGCGATAAAATCGAAAAGTTTAAAAAGTTGAAAACCATATTGGTCTAAGAAAAATGCGACAACGTTTCGACGTTCGCTTAACGTTATTATCAAGTCAATAACGAGTGAAATGAGAACATAGTTCGTCCCCTCTACTAACTATGATGAGAACGAATATAAATGTAAAAGAATTCCTAAGAGACAGATAACATATGAAAATATGTAAATAACAAAGAATTCACGCGTAGAGTCACATATTCGCACGCAGAATCACGTAAAGAGTTTGGGGCGAATAGAGTCTCTCGGAGTATTTAACTCGGGGTTCAGTTCCTTAATGAATAACATCTCAAAAATTAGACAATCAAACTTTGATCTACATTTCTCTAGAAAAGAAAATTGCTTATCAACCAAGTCAGTCTTCAATAGACCGTGTTGCTTAAGATGCATGCCTCCCCGCGATTGCAGAGTATTTGTGTTCGTTAATCCGCTGATGCCGAAGTGTCGAGCGGTACACCCGATGTTATAGTATTAATGAACTAGGGTTTAATTAATGTTATAGTGTTAATGAACTAGGGTTTAATTAATGTTATAGTGTTAATGAATTGGGATTTAAATAATAGGAACCATCACCAGGTGTAAGATGCATGACTTGGGAGGTCCCAGAGAGTAAACATATATAGCTAAGTTGCATGCATATTGAGGTTGTGGTATATTGTGTAACCGTAGTTAGATAGTGATCATTAAAGTTCGGTCGGCCGTTTTGACCAAGGATTGGCGTCACTTTTCTGCAGTAAGACACAACACCCGACACAATCTGCGTCGCACAGATCACATTCAAATTTGTAAACCACGCATTGATTATTGACAATAGAGGGCTTCTTCTCTTTTAGAG